TTATAAGATATATATCAGTCATTGAAATTCAAGTTGAAGTTCAGTTTATAGTAAATGTATGAAAGCGAAAGCATTAAATTAATACATGTAATGATTTCTATTTCTTTTGTAATAAAAAGTGTGTTCATGCAATTCGCAGTTTGATTCACCGGGTCTAGTATTTTGTCGCTCTGATGCAGTTAATTTCAAGCACAGTTCATGTTTTTGTGGCTTTGTGGATTTTGCCTTGTACTGGAATTGTCTGTTTCATTGCTATGACAAGACTTGAAGTACAAAAAGTTCGCCTCATATGCGCTTCAAAATGCATAAAAAGGAGTCTGATTTTATAACAAATTTCTGGGGAGGCCCCCCCGACCCCCACCGCTTCAGTTGCCCCCCTAACAAATCTCAAAGTGCCTTTCCACCTGCACCCCCCCCCTAGACAAAATCCTGGCATCCACCCCTGGTATTTTAGTCCCAAGTAATTTATACATGATTCGGTACGTGATACCGATTCGGATTCGAATTTGGATTCGGAGAAAGAAGAGGCGGCAGTTAATGTAAGCGGCAGTAATGAAAGTCGAAAACTCTCATGCTCTTCATTCTATTCTTCCTAAAATTCTCGACTGCTCGCTGGCAGCTATGATCGTGCGCCGCCTACGCACTCGGCGCACGGATCCATAGCTGCCAGCGCTGCATACTGTCGTACGACATTGCCGCGGTCGCGTGCCGCCTTGCCGCGAACTGCGCGCGAGATCTGCGCGTATAGCGCTTGGATCAAACACCTCTTTCGCAACGCTTCTCTAGTATCCCGTCTCATCTGGCTCTAGTACTATAGGGCCGCGGAGCTATCTTTACTCCTGCGACAGACGCGAAGGGCTTACTCGTAACGAGTACGTATACCTACGTATGTAGTAAGTGTTACGGAGACTTCTTACGAGAGCCAAACCCTCTTCATAACTTAAGATTAAGATGAAAATAACACAGTTACACAAAGAATTGTATTATAGTGATATTATATTCTATATTAATGAGTAAAATGTGTGTTTTAAACTTACTTATAATCGCTGATGATGAACTAAAACACATATTTACAAAGGGGCGTTTGTTCTCTTGTTTTGAGGTTTATCGCGTCAGAGCAAATCAAAGCAGCCAATCAGAGAACCCTTTGCGCATTTGCGGTACGGAAAAAAATAGACGCGCGCCGGTTTGGCAGAAGATTTGATTTTCAACATTCATTGACCCAACATAAAGACGTGTTTTAAATATCACAGAGGCAACTAAAAAACATACGATGCTTTGGTTATTTACGTTATGATACTAGCATCAAATAATGGTAAAAATTAGACAGTTTATAGATATCACTAAGGAGGCCAATCTTCAATCACTGTCGTCGAGTCCAACGTCACGATCGTGGCTCAAACTTGCAGAAGAGGTCTTCTTGTTTGTGCAGTAGTCTAGTATTAACTAACAACTATAGCCCGCGTTCCCTTTGCACGGTTACAAATGTTTGGGCAATAGCATGCCAAAATTGATGTTTCCTCATCCATGCCTAGGCCTATGGTTTGTAAGTTGTTTGTTAGTGCACGCCACGAGTTCCCATGGCAACAACAGTGCGCAGCCGATGCGCAGTAGAGCGCCATCGTCTGACAGCGGTGTATGTATTTGAACTGCACAGTGGCTCCTCATGCGGTCAAAATCCTAACTTACACAATTTAGTTAACCGCAAATGACGAGCCTGGTCCTTTAACATGAATAAAGTGTATGTTTTGTAAGCGCAGTAACAGCGTGCGTATTTTTAATTAATTTATGTTCGATGCTTATTCAGGCCTGCAGCCTATGGACGACCTCTACTGTTGTTCAACCACTGATCTCTATAATATAATCTTATAAGATTATATTATAGAGATCAGTGTGTTCAACACCTAAAAATTGAGCTAGTTTAGCGATTGCTCACTTGTTATAATTTACTGCTTCATATCACTGCTTCATAGCCACTGTTCATAGCTCATAAAAATAGTTAAGAAATAGTAATAAATTGTATTACAATAAAAGTATGCATAATTGGCTTTAATAGATGAGTTGAATTATTACAGTACTGTCTGTATAATTAAGTTATGACACTATTACTAGCTGGAAGTAGCAGTTCAGTTGTCTTTACCGAATACTAGGCTATATCCCGCTCGTCCATGACGTCGTTAGCCACACATGCTTGACGATTGCCCAACATCTATGCCATACTTTGTTTAGTTTTAGTCCATATTCTTGTGAAAAATTCGTTCTATAACCATTTGCATACGACATCAACTATATCGTGAAACTTAGAAGTCTAGTTTTGGAACATTTTCGTTTGCTTGCGACGACAGATTATCGTAAAAAGTCTGTCGATTTTTGGACGGAAAATTTCATACCAGAAATCCAGACAGCCTAGGAATCCTACCGCCGTACCGGGGACGTGTGGCGGTCCACTGGACAAAACATCTGTACCAGGTCGCTAGGCATTAACCCCATATCCTGTCAACATGGGCGACTCCGAAACGGCAGCAGACAGGAATGTAGAGATGTGGAAAATCAAGAAACTGATTAAAAGTTTACAACAAGCTAGAGGGTAAATCTCAGTTTTTACACTGCTACGTTTCTAATATATTATTTACACTTCTTTAACTTTAAGTTCTTAATCTTAGTCAGTTAAATACTAGTAATGCACTTGTAACAGAAGTCCTTGTTTTTCATCCGTTATTCAATACACAGGGCATTTGTGACATACTTGCCAGTTCAGCACTGAGTGCTGGAACTTACTGTATATCACAATTCCTCCAAAAATCTAGGTAAGAGGGTTATCGGGGACACGTGTCGGTGCATTGCCAGTGCATAGCCAAAATATAGGTTGAGTTTTTGCATAAATTGACAGGCAGTTGTAGCCGGTAAATGTTGCAATATGGAATTCTAAAATCGATGCTTAATAACAACGTGCACCAAAGCCGACATACTAGCGTGGATGCGCCACTTGCAAACGGAGCTAAACTCACCTAGCCATAATATTCCAAGGGGGCGTAATGACCTTCTAGTAAGACGGATGGATCGATTGACGAGAGCTTGCATTGTTATTAAATTGACTACGTCACAAATTTTCTATGGTGTATATTTGTAAAAAAAAATGTGCACATTTTTTTACATGAAAAGTAAGTACTAATGGCACTAAATGTATCCTCAAATTCTGACCTGATGAGATTGTTTTTCAACTAGTTAAAAATCAAAAAAATCTGAACGATTTGATATATTGGTCATAGTATTAAATGCTTGCTATTGGCTATGTATGAGTCACGAGTGTTGGTTCACATCGAAAGGAATAGCAAAATAGGAAGTGTAATGCAGCAATTTAACCATAAAAAGTGAACAGAATCACTTACATTTTGTTTTAAAAAAAGTGGACATAATTTTTTTACTTTAACTATTTACGGTGACATAATCACTTTAACTCCGCCCTCTACCTTGTATTTTACAGCAACGGCACCAGCATGATCTCACTCATCGTTCCTCCGAAGGATCAGATCGCACGCGTCGGCAAGATGCTGGCAGACGAACTCGGCACCGCATCCAACATAAAGTCGCGCGTAAATCGGCTCTCCGTGCTCGGTGCCATCACGTCTGTACAGCAGCGACTGAAGCTGTACTCAAAAGGTGCGCCGCGACGCGCCGCGACTGTTTTCAGCGTGCACAATCTTGAGATTGGTCAGCCAAACTGGGAAATCCGCAGTTTTGGGTGGCACGATCGTGCAAATTCCAAGTTTGGTTACGACAGCGGGTCAAACATCAGACTCAGAAACTATCGCAATACTATTGCAATACAGTCAATTCTTCAAATTCCAAATGTCCCCAGAACCGAATCTCATGTTAAACCAGATGATTTTTCAAAAACCAACACCAATCGAGACATGTAAGTCTCCCTACCCCACATACTATAAACCGAATTAAATGGTTGGTCCCGAGGGTTGTCAGTATTGGGAGAGTTGACTGTAGAAAATTGCACTCAATAGTCGCCCGTATTATGCTGTCATTTGTAGGATTGCATGGGAATGTTAGTCGGTGTCAATCTAAAATGTCTGTCACTGAAATTCATTCAAGCTAGTTAAGGAAAGAGCAATATTTCCAAATATTTGGAAATGAATGGGGCATTACCACTAGCAACCATCAAGCTGTGATTTCTTTCCAAGTGTATTTTGTTTGTGGTTAATATGAAAGCATAATTCCTAGACATTTAGGATATTGACATTTTCACAATACATCCTTCTCAGGTTGGTGTGAGCATGGAAGTAGGGTTGTCATCGCACATGCTATTATGACTGTTCTTCCATCGCAGGTAAATTTTCACTTTTTGTTGGCAGTTCCACCAAATGGTCTGGTGATCTATTGTGGAACGATTGTGACCGAGGAAGGAAAAGAAAAGAAGGTCAACATAGACTTTGAGCCATTCAAGCCGATCAACACTTCATTGTACTTATGTGATAACAAGTTCCACACTGAGGTAAGTTGACAGCAAGAGCTGAAGGTCGCTGTTCAAAGTTGAACTTGGGATTGGTTGATCTGTTTCGATTTGCAAATGAGAACAACATTTGCAAAACCCAACTAGAAATTAAATTTAAAGCAACACAAGTAAAATGTTCAGTGCAAAATAAATGTGCTGCATACTCCATGTTAATCGTCATTTACATTACAAACCTCGCCTGCTAATAGCATTTCACCTGTTGACTGAAAGTACAAATAATATGTCATTACAGGTCATAAGTGCAACAGTGATATTCTGGCCATGTGACTCTGGATTTGTACTTGTAGTTCGTATATTTTTGTGTGCCCTATTCAGGCATTTGAGTCCGGTGTAGTGGATTTACCCAGGTGTGTTTCTGCAGGATTTAACCGACCAATAGCAATATCTGCGGAAGCTACATATAACTATTGTTAAGTTACAGTGCACGTTACAAAAGCTTTATTGACATTCTGACTGTATGACTCGGTTCCTTTTGCGCATATTTTGCTCTTCCGTATTCACGTTGTATTGCTCGTTAATTCCACGAGTGGTTTTCCCAACATTGTTTTCTGCAGGGTTTGACCCACCGATGGCTTTTTATAGGCGAGATGGGACATGATATAGCTCTCATTTTTTATAGCGTGCTATGCTGAATCACCCTGACACACGTTTCAGGCTCTCACTGCCCTTCTCAGCGACGACAGCAAGTTTGGCTTTATCGTGATGGACGGCAACGGAGCTCTGTTTGGCACGCTATCGGGAAACACGCGTGAGGTGCTGCACAAGTTCACTGTCGACCTGCCGAAGAAACATGGTAACCACTCGCATCTGAGAGAGTGATCTATGTGCAGCGTCAAAGCTGCATGTGAGGACAGCGTATGCGAAATGCCAAAATGTCCTAGTGACCAACAGCCTACTCTGGCCAACAGTTTATAAACTAGTGGACATTCTGTAGGTGTGGTTTCACTGTGTAACTGCTATTCAAAGGAAATGCCAAAGCTGTCCTTTATAGACAGGTGTCCGTTCTATAGAGGTGGCCGCTAACATGGCTTTGACTGCACTTATGGCGTGGGCACGCAGCTAACGTCATTTTTTTGTCGCTGGCCCATAGGTCGTGGAGGTCAGTCTGCGCTGCGATTCGCTCGCCTGCGCATGGAGAAGCGACATAACTATGTGCGCAAAGTCGCCGAGGTCGCCGTGACGATGTTCATCACGAACGACCGGCCAAACATCTCGGGCCTCATCCTAGCCGGGTCGGCCGATTTCAAGACCGAGCTCAGCCAGTCGGACATGTTCGATGCGGTAAGAGCATAGGGTGCAGGCGATGGTCACGGCAAGAGGTGTGTCGGTCGTTGACGCCTATCGGCACAAGCGAGATACCCACGCCCTTTGCACTGTTGCCTGTCAATCAAGCCAGAGGCCCGATGTCAGAAACAAAATTAGTCTTAACATTAGTCTTATCGTTAACTTTTTCACATATAGGCTGTTGTTGGCAGAAACATGGTGAAGTTACAAGTTTCTTTTATGCAGTGTACACAGGCCCAGTTTATGAAGGAAAAGTTAAGATTAAGACTACTGTTAAGGCTAATTTTGTTTCTGACATCGGGTTCCAGGTGAATAAGGCAACAGGTTGAAAACTGTAGCAGCAAACTAATTGCAGTAGATGCTATCAGTATATGATATATATATATCAGGGTTTCTTCTGAGGGGAAATTAAGCAAAGGAGGTAATGGCCAGATCTTGGCGGCCGCCCGGCAACGGGCCCAGCTCGCGAGGTCGGCGCGGACAGACAAACAGCCCGGCGCCGGCCCATCGCTGAGGTATTCCAGCAAGCATGCGTAGGCACGGCTAATCGCGATGCTGCAGGCAGATGGCGGAGGGCGAGGGGAAACCCCTCTCGATGGGGGGGGGGGGGGTTGAGGGGTCTTCCCCAGCAAAATTTTAAAAATTTGAATGTCAGATTTGATTGAAGGAACATTTTCACAACGGCGATGTTAAATTTGACAACAGCGGTGTGCCACTGTGCCTTATGTATAGTGATGTCACGATCATCGATTATACTCGATCATCGGTTGAACAGTGGCTCGAACACAGCGCTTTTTTTTTTTTTTATTTGAAACAGAAAACTTGAAAAGTGATGAGGAATCAGTTACATGTATTATACACACAGTAGTAAACAGTGCAAAACAAACAGTAAACAGGGCTAAAACAAGCACATACATGCACAACGACGTACATTGCACACGCAGGCATTCAACACCCGAGGTAACCGATTGTAACCGATCATCGTTACTTGGGTCCAACCGATAATCGATTACGAAATTACAACCGATTGACAACACTACTTATGTATAAGAAACCTTGTATATATATAAAGGTGTCAATTTATGTTATATCTGTTTGTGAAGTTTGAACGTGATCCACTATTAGCTGGTTCACACTGGGAAGCTACTTAATTATGTGATCATTAGCTCCCATGCAGTCTGTAGAATAGCTCGATGCTGTCTGTCTTTCTGTCAACAATATGGGCACAAATCTACACAGCTTGATGTGCAGTGTTAATATTCGGGACATAGGGGGGCGATCCAGAAAAATGTTAGGATGTCGAACTAGGGGGTCAAGGTTTAAAGGTTAAAAACGGGAAAGAAAGGTGATATATTCCCCGTAACATAAGCTATAGGAGTAAATGGGGAATTGTGACACAAATGTAAACGGCGTCATGGCGAGAAAAGCCATAACCGTCACAAAATTTGAGGTCACAAGTCGAATAGTAGTGTGGCAAAGAACAGATTTTAGACATTCTATGTGGTCATGGTCTGACGGACCGAGTGTACAAAATTTGTTTCAGTGGTGACCTACTTTTCTCATGACTTTATCGGAAGGACAATGAAATGTACTTAGTTTCCACTTATGTTCGAAAACGTAGCTGGCCTGTGACCTTTTGACCCTCAGGCTCGAGGAAGGTTAAACATTGATTTGTTTGCTGTAAACAAAGGACTGAAATGATTTTCTTAGTAGAGTATATCAATGTCGGCACTCGAAAATCAATACTAGCCACTTTTTGCGTTGTGATCCGTGTTTTGTTGTGCAATTGAGCCGACCAGATTAGTATGGTTCTTAGTGTGCAAGCATCACAAAATTGCACAACCTAAATTTATCAGGAAAACACAATTAGGAGTGATGGGATCTGCCATTTTTAACATTGTTTACACTTTCACCTGGAATCTTGCAGGAACTTTCATTCTCATAATTGAGAATACAGAAATAGATATGTATATATATGGCTTTTTTGGAATATGGCCCAGTAGGCCTAGTACCTAAAACAACCCCTGGTTCAAATGTTACTTCCTCAAATGCTGGACAACTATTTAGTTAACATTCCAGCAAACTCACCAAAGTTAATTAATGGTTTACTTTAGCTTTATTGAAATATTCATTTGTAGTTGTATGAATGAAGTAAAATGCTTGAACACTATTATTTCCAAGGACCAAAATGTTACTATGTGAATGTAACTGTTTCTACTTTAAGTAGGGAAGTGACTGTACAAACCACAGATGCAGGCTACTTTCTGGGTGTCACTATGATTGCCACTGTTTTCGTTGAAATAAAATGTGTAGAAAGGTATAGTGCCTGCATGCGAAAGGTTATTCTGGTTGGATATAAGAGGAACGTGATGTTATTACATATTTGTGTAGAGGGCGCTAGTTGTTGGTTGCGATGGGTGCGAGCAAGCAACTTTAATTACAACGTTCATCACAAAATATTCAAACAATTGACCTCCCGCACGACTGGCCTTACAAGTGTCACAATTCTACGATGTTCCTGATGCCATCCCTGCAACTTTTCATGTTTCAAGTCCTGCGAACACATTTGGAACTAAAATATGTGTTGCTATGCTTAACTGCAATTTAGAGTTTATCAGCAGAGCAGCGGCTCTCAGATGAGCACTGTCGCTCTGTGGCACGTGTCTATGGAATCCGAATGTTTCCTTTATTCACTTACTTGCATCCCACCCTCACCCCCATTGGGGCATAGAATGTTTATGACTGATATGCTTTATCGTACCCTATTTTGGTTAGCCCTCTCCAGCTCTGGAACACCATTGGGTGAAGATTCATATAACCGTGACATGATTTGGGCAAGTTGCAAGTGTCGTTGACGTGTTTTCTTGCTTTTTTCATTGTAGCGGCTTCAGACGAAGGTGCTGAAACTAGTAGATGTCTCCTATGGAGGCGAGAACGGATTCAATCAGGCCATAGAGCTGTCAGCAGAGGTCCTTGCCAACGTGAAATTCATACAGGAAAAGAAACTGATAGGTAACTGGAACTCGATGTGCTGGGTGGCGGCGACAGACAAATGTGATCAACCAAACGTGGTCAGATTTGTACATGCAAAAAACATGGTTGGTAAGTGGGTGGTACAACTTGTGGTTGCTGTGTGTGCATTCCACGTGCCAGATGATAGCTGTGGCCAAGTGCGTTCACGTGTGTCAAAAATGTTGCCTGTTACCATGACAGCACTCCTGATTTTACAGCGTTACCAGGGGGCTGTTGTCAGAAACAAAATTAATCTTAACATTAGTCTTAACATTAACTTCCACTCGTAAACCATTGACAGAAACATCGTAATGTTACGAGAACGAAAAATCCTCGGAAATTTCCTCCTAGCATTACAAGAGCCCATACCCTCTCGTAACTTTAATATTAAGATGAAAATAACACATTTAGACTAAGAATTACAATTATAGTGACATTAGATTGTATATTAATGAGTAATATGTCTATTTTTCTTGAAAAACACGTCACAAACATTAATTATCTACCGTTCGTAAAACAAAACAAAACCTTTATAAATGGCATATGGCATTTGTTCTCTTGTTTTAAATACTTTGCACTGACCACGACTCTCGCGTCTCGTGTTACAGTGTGAGAATTTGTCTTGTTGTGCAGAATAAATTCAAGACCGTGTCGTTTTTCATCAAATATTATTTATATGTGGTTAGCCATCATAATATGCATAAATTACTGTGATGTACAATAAATGTGTATGAATTTCAATTTTGTGATCGATTCTCATCAAATCAGCAGCCGTGTGACATCAAATTATGAAGTTCTTGTTATCGTGAGTTTTCTAATAGCTGCGATGTGTTTGTCAACGCTCCTCTCGTAACATTAACATTAGTCGTAAGTGTTATCTTAGCATTAACATTAGCATTAACTTTATGATGTTTCTGACAAGGGCCCCCTGAGCTCTATCCATAGGTGTTAGATTCTCTCTCTCTCTCTCTCTCTCTCTCTCTCTCTCTCTCTCTGCTTCTCTCTCTCTCTATCTCTAGTTCGATTCTCTCTCTCTCGTCTCTCTCTCCTCTCTCTCTCTCTCTCTCTTCTGCTCTCCTCTCTCTCTCTCTCTCTCTCTCTCTCTCTCTCTCTCTCTCTCCTCTCTCTCTCTCTCTCTCTCTCATCTCTGCTCTCTCTTCTTCTCCAATCTAGTCTCTCTCTCTCTCTCTCTTCTCTCTCTCTCTCCCCCTCGCGCCCGCTCTTCTCCTCCAACTGTTTCACTCTTATCAATTTGTTGTCGAATTTTCAAAAATTCAGTGTTGTTATATCGTACACGTCGCATCTCACTGTGTGTGTGTGTGTTTTGTTGCGCACATACGTAGGACGATACTTTGACGAGATCTCGCAGGACACCGGGCGGTTCTGCTTCGGTGTCGTCGACACGCTGCGGGCGCTGGAGATGGGCGCCGTCGAGACGCTCGTCTGCTGGGAGAACCTCGATGTCGTGCGATACCAGCTGATCAACCACTCTACGGACGAGGAGCGGCTGCTGCATCTCAGCCCCGAGCAGGCCAAGGACAAAACCAACTTCATAGACAAAGACGTAGGTGACACGCAGGCTGGTGCTAAAAATTGTCATTCGAGAAAGTATAATAGACACATCTTTCGTGGATTAATTCAATCGGATTTTGTTTTATTATGTAAAAGCATTTCGTCTCAAAATTTCTCCAAAATATTTACAGAAGCAAACAGTTTTGACTGCTGTACTGCTTTTTCTTTGCGTAGAGCTGAAGATGTCGTTCATTACATTTCTGATATTATTGGCAGCACAATTATATCCAATCGCATACAGATGTGTGCGTTCGTGCGTGTATGCATTTACGTATGTATATATAATTAATATATGCCTAATTTAACTGACCAGATACATTCCTGTGACTGGCCTCCTAGGCATAACATCTACTTTACTAGTCATAAATCTAATCATAATATGAAATGATACTTTTGTAATCATGTAAGCCATTATTTGCTCACTGCCTAGTTGATGCTTTTCATTGTTTATTATGAGATAGCATATAGTAAACTATAAAGGTGATAGCGGATATTATAGTTATTAACTTTTCACTATGGTTTAATTGATTTTTCTTTAGTGATGTCCTGTTTCTCAATATTTATTAAATGAATATTTGTTCTTACATGCTTTTGTCTACAGTCTGGGGTTGAACTAGAGACTGTAGATTTCATGCCTCTGCTGGAATGGCTAGCCAATAACTATAAAAGTTTTGGTGAGTCAATAAGCTGTTCAGTTTTCTCAAAATATTTTACTGCTGTGTTCATGGTGTCTTTGGCAACGTAATAAGATTAAATTAAGCCACCCACGTATGCAATAGTGTGTGAACTTACTCCCTTAGAAGTGAAGTAAAGTCTACCCTGCATACCCCAGCACTAGTTACCTTGTGCAGCTGGCAGCAGGTTTGCACGTGAAGTTGTTGTTGCTAACAGGGTATTTTGTCGTTTGATCTCCAGGTGCTGCCCTTGAAATCATCACCGATAGGTCGCAGGAGGGGTCGCAGTTTGTCAAGGGTTTCGGTGGAATCGGAGGTAGGGTGCTGTTTGTAGAAAACCACAGTCGCGTGCATGCACATAATTGAGCTATCTGTCAGAGCAAGATGACCCTGCTCCCTTTGATATTATTGTTAGGTCAGTCAAGCTAGTTCATTAAAGCAATGCAAAGTCCTAACACCTACAGATTATGCAAGGAAATCCCAGTTGTTGAAATATATGGCACAATATATAGATGATGCATATACCTTTGCTTTACGTGACATTTTGTAAACATTAAAAGGTGCAACCTGTATGAAATCAATATTATTTTATTCAGAACCCAGCGGTAACGTATAGCGATAACAATACATCCCCTCCCCAGATCAACATATACATGGGAAGACCAGATATGTAGTCCTGTTACACACCTAAATCCTAAATCATTTTCAGTTGATCCACTTGTTTATGTATATAGGCTTAGTGCTAGGAAACACTAGGCCAACCGTTTCATTGGCACACACTGTGCATTATTGCATGATATGTCAGCATTTTCTATTACTCGTGTGTTATGTGGTTGCTGGAGCTGATTAACGTGCACCACACAGGTATTTTTAGCATCGTGCGTGCACTGTGAAAGCAAAAAATTTGAATGTGAACTACATTACGACAAAACCTTTTAGATCTTACTTAGAATTAGTTGCAGCTGTTTTTAATGTTATCAAATACCACATGGAACTGATTTGATTTACATCTTAATTAAGATTCTGTCATATATATAAAACCCAAGCATAAAAATAACCTCAAAGTTTTGTGGAATTTGTTCCCCTTTAAGGATACACTTAGGGTTGTATGTGAGATTGTCAAAAGTTTAATACCCATCAGAGTCAAGTCCGAGGTCCGGGACCTGCCGATTTCATGCTCGGATCTTCGCAAATTTCCAAGCAGAAAGTCCATCGGACCTTTCAATAATTTACAGTACTCCACTTTCATCAAATAAAACATTATTAAACCATTGCAAATTGCGAAGAAATAAAGCGAAAGTAGTTTGATTTTTGGTCACTGTCGACATCTAGTATCATATTTAATATTCACGATGAAACATACCAAGTATACCTTATAAGAGTCAAATTTACTGAAAATGTTATCGAATCGAATACTGCAATGTTAGTAGCATGGTTTGTTAAAATGGAAGTTAACGCGGAGGCGCGCAGTTTCAGCATACCGGAAGTAACTCGTCGCTCGTGCGAGTAACTCAGAATGCCTGCAGATTACGCATGTATTGTATCAAACAAAAGTCTGGTTTTGTATAAAAAAATGGACCCATTGTTACCAAACGATCTATTAGTCAAACAAACGTTACAAATGACTTGCAAAATGAAACCGAAACTACTTGTACTATTCAGACCTTCCAAATCTTTCATCGGACCTTCCAAAAATATTGATGGAAAGTCCCGGACCTGCGGGCAAAAACCACTCAGCCTCTGCCCATTTTATTTGATAGATGGCGCTTCTTAGCAGCTAGGTGCGTCATTAGCACGCGCTATCCCAAAATCCACAGCATGCACCCCAACATGCAAATCAGAAACGCTGTTACAGTTGTTTTGAACACGTTGTTGCTGCGCGCGTTTGTTTACAATGTTTACAAATTTTCACAATCTTTTATTAAATAGATGTGTGTTTGATTATATTTGAAGAGCTGTTGTCTTGTAATGCCCTTTACAGTGGTACCTGGCCATAAACCCTGAGTGTATCCGTAATCAAGGGTTTTCCCGTTATGCAAGGTATGGTGGTATATGACGTGGAGGGCATGCACTGCTGACTGTGACGATCTCTTGCAGGTCTGCTGCGCTACAGGGTCGACTTTCAGGCCATCGAGGTCGAAGAGATGTTTGAAGATTTTGATCTGGACGACTACTAGAGCGCCACCTATTGACCGTCGTACAGCAAGAAAGGGAAACTCAGTACTTCCAGTGGATCTGAAACTCTGTTGGGCCAACGAGAGACATTTTCCATTTTACTATTATCGGAAACTTCCGGGGAGCAAAAACGGCGCGCGCCGTCCATTTACCAGTACCGGCCGTTTGTATACTTTGTATGCATTAAGTAGAGTTAATGTATGCAGGTGTGGCCGGAGGGAGATGCAGGACAGTGTCGTGTCTGTATGAGCAGGCTTGCTATCGATCCCACTTAACGTGGTTTTAGGAATTTTCTGTGCCATGCTTGATGCTGTGAACTGCACCTACCTTCACAACCAGTCCAGCTTGTCTTAAATGCAACCCTGGGGTGAATAGGAAAGGCAAGATGGTGTCACCGGGGAGCGGTGCGACAGTGACCAATATCGGTCCCGTGAAACAGCTGTGTGTGCGATTAGATATCGCTTTGCTGGAAGAGTGGCGTCAAAGGCATGTGGAGTGACACCATGTGCTTGTGGTGTGTTGGGGACAAGGGTTGGGGGTGACACAAAAACAACATGTGCTTGTGGGGTGCTGGGGACAAGGGTTGGGGGTGACACGAAAACAAATCGGCCATTCAGATGAAATTTGTGTCGCAACCAATTATTAATTGACACCGCCTTCCAGCCTTCCCCTCGTAGCATGAGTAGTAACCTCTTCCTCTCCCCCTTCCTTTCTCTCCCTTCTCTCTGAGACTGTCTCTATCTATCTATCTTGCTCGCTCTCTCTCTCTCTGTCTCTCTCTTTCTCTCTCTCTCTCTCTCTCTCTCTCTCTCTCTCTCTCAAAATTTGTCGTACTCAAGGGTAAAAGATAGTGTGTTTCCTACATCACAGTGGCTCATGTATTATAGAGATATGGCCTTCATGGTAGACAATAACATAACTTACTATCTGCTTTAAGGAACCATCTGTTTGGTCTTCGGAACAGGAATATCGGGGCATTAAATGTATTTTAGAATGCCTAACCGTTTAACACATTCTGCATGTGTCTTTCTGGTGACATTTACTTGAATTACTTCACGTGATTTTTCTTTCAAAGTAAGATAATGTCCAGTCCCTCTGAGAATGTGCTACATTCTTTTCCATCGTACTCTTGTCCTTGTCAGTATGACATCAATGATAAAAGTGAAGGTGGTGCAGTAAGTTGCAATTTTATACCATATTAAATGTCTGGTAATTGACCTATCTGCCTGGCATGATTGATAGGCAGCTTTAGCCAGTTGCTGTTATGCTAGGACGTTTTAAAAGACAATATATTGCAACTAAGTGCTGCAAAGTCAACAATTTGGTGTATACACATGATGGGAAATGTCTGTAAACTGGTCTAGCTTGTAGCAATAATATCTAAGAGTGGCGTATTTACCTCGTTCAGATGGATAGGTCATCTCTGGAGAGTGTACCATTTCTTATTGTTGTCTTCTGCTCCGCTCTCCTGTCTTTCGATGATTCCTCTCCCCCTTCTTCCGTGCAGTGTATGTACTGTTGTTCTCATGATTCCGTCGTGCTGCCGTGCCTGTGAGTACAATCGTAATCTCAGGTCTTCAGCCGTGGGGTCTGAGGACCTCAGCTGCGGTTTGCGAGCCTTGGCTGGGGGTCTGTGAGCCTCAGTTGGTGTGAGTCTTCTAAATTGGTAATTGAGGCAGGGTGAGCTCCCGCTAGCTTCCAACAGCTTGTATTCAGTATGATTTTTCACATTTCCCTCTTTTAGAGTGTAAAGATCTAGAATCTGGGATCAGAGGCTCATTGTCAAAAACAAGATTAGCTTAACATTAGTCTTGACTTTCTCTCGTAGACGGGACCTCTATACACTGCGTATGAGAAACTCGTAACTCTACCATGATTCTGTTAACGGTCTATGAGAAAGAGTTGACTGAGACTACTTTTGAGAGTAATGTTGAGACATATTTGTGTTTCTCACAGCAGGCCTCGGATTTTAGATAATATATAGAAGTGTATGTTGGATCTGAATGTACGCTAACGTGCCGTGGGGTGGTGGTCACTGTTACAATAATGTGTGGTGTGATATTGTATCATGATCATTAACTTTGCTGCTGTGTTACTGAAGATTGCTGTAGAATTGTAACAGATGTAACATTGTGCCATAGCGTGATATGTATAGCTGTGGCATTGAGGCACGTGACACAACATAGTCACGTAACATGGTGTGCACTGCTGCAGAAATAGATTGTTCCATGCCACTGTCTGTTGTTACATGGTGGAGTGTTCAGTGACACAGTATGATGTACTATGGTGGAGTGCTCCGTAACACAGTGTTGTGACGTTGTGAAGCATTCCAGTACACATTATGTTGTAACATGGTGAAGCATTCCGTGACAAGTGTTGTAACATTGGGCAGCGTTCCGCGACACATTCTGTTGTAACGTAGTGGGTTGCACTAGTTAGTGTGGAATGAATAACCCTGTGGAATCACGCTGTTTTATAATGTGCTACTCACCGACATAGGACACAAAACATTGTTGCAGTTCATCATTATGTTGCGTCAACTGCTGGAAGGACAAAGAGGACAATTTGTACGTGTTATGATAATCTAATTATTGGGTTGGATGAGGTGTTATGAGAAATTTGTTTAAATAGAAAAATTGCGTCCGTTTTTTGAAATAAAAATCATATACGCTGTTCATCGTGTATTATTGTAGGCTATCCTTTGCGCGTGTTTACACGGTAAACGGCCGCTTCGTTGCTCGTGGAAGTCGTAGTCGGTAACAACAAGGAATTATGTGCAGGTCTGCACGCACATTGTATAGATCTGTTCGTGGTAATAATGTTTTCATTCCACAATGTCTCTTTACAATGCGCGACAATTTGATAAGGAAGTTTTATTAATTTGTGCAACTCATACTTAATCGATAACGTGAAACAGGCAAGATAGTTTAATCACTATGATTATAATGTTGTCATTTACATCCACATTGGGGGGGGGGTGTCTATATTCAAGCCGGTACGGGAGATTACGGTATATATTTGCTAATATACTGACTAATCATGTGTCAATAAACTCAATATTCACAGCGAGTATAGCTAAGACATGTGGTATCTAGAATTTTAGAAATTTAATCATCTGTAATTCTCTTTCGCGCTCATATATTTGCGATTCGTGCGCAATAAACTCAATATTCACAGAGAGTATGGGGGTGTCTATATTCAAGCCGGTACGGGAGATCATTTGCATAATATATTCTAGATACCTATAGACACATGTCTTAGCTATACTCTCTGTGAATATTGAGTTTATTGACGCACGATTAGTCAATATATTAGCAAATATATGCGTACCGTAATCTCCCTTACCGGCTTGATTATAGACACCCCGATTCACATTGTAGTACGGTATTTCGTGCTGTGCTGTGGACGTAGCGACATCTAGTGGTCGCAAAGTAACGAAGCTAGGTATTATTAGAAGGACGTGTAGCGATGTGTATGGTACGCAAAGCAAAGTGAGAACAAAAACATTCGAATTATACGAATTTATGCGTTTCCAAAATTCCATACATGTTGTGCATGAAACTATGCTGGCTATGCTCTATGTTATTTTCTTTGGCACGGCCTATCTATGTCTCCAGTTGCAGATTATACTCTGCTGCGAATATCAATGCACTACTCAGCTCTTCTTATTATATCAAGAGCTAATAATACTTATTAGGTATTATGAGCTCTTGATTATATGAAGCTACATAGCATAATGTGAAGCTACACAACATTCCGGTCACTTGCGTACGCTAGCGGGCTACACGAGCGAAGATTTATGGCAGCCGACAAGACGAACTCAAACTTTAAAAAAATGAAAATATTTACTTATCACCATAAATTACATACGCGTAAGCACAGGGGGAACGTGAGACAGTGAGCGCAAACATTCATAGAGACATGCATCCGTACGTGGCTGTAAAATCAATGCAGCAGCCGTACAGCGTAGAATAGCATCTTCATCTTCGCATCCTACATTAGTAGCGATCGCTTGTACGCGCTACTGGACACAGGCGGCCTGGAATTACCGCTAGCGCCTTGTTGCTCGCTCGCTCGGTCGCTGTCCTTGCAAGACAGCAGGGGTCACGGACACCCACGCGCCCTTCAGTCGCAATCAATACTACCGCCAGGTGGAGGGCGGGTGTGCGCGTGTCCACCTATGCGCGTGTCCTGTATTCATGAATCTGGCAAACGTGTACAGCGACCACCGACAGTCATTCATATATACGTACGTCTACGCATGTAAGGTGGTTGGGTAGGGTTAAGCTACAGATGATATTTCACTGAGCCTGATTGCGGGTTATGTACGGGTGGGTCGTCGCTATCGGCTGCGGCCATGGCGTTAATCCAAACGCGGCTGGTTGCCCGTTGTTATAGGAAAATGGGAAATTCGTTTTTCAGCAGAGAGAGAGAGAGAGAGAGAGTAGATAATAACACAGTAGTGTTATTATCCACTCTTGATATATATACAAGAGCATATAAAGAAGGATCTTATATACTTATAAGATCCGTCTTTATATGCTCTTTGATATACTATATATATATATATATATATATATTATATATATATATATATATACTATATATATATATATAATATATATATATATAATATATAAAGAAATATATAGAGAGAGAGAGAGAGAGAGAGAGAGAGAGAGAGAGAGAGAGAAAGACAGACAGACAGACAGACAGACAGACAGACAGACAGACAGACAGACCAGACAGAACAGACAGACAGACAGAGAGAACAGACAGACAGAGAGACAGACAGAGAGAGAGAGAGAGAGAGAGAGAGGAGAGAGAGAGAGAGAGAGAGAGAGAGAGGAAGAGAGAGAGAGAGAGAGAGTAGAGAGAGCAGAGAGGAGAGAGAGAGAGAGAGAGAGAGAGAGAGAGAGAGAGAGAGAGAGAGAGAGAGAGGAGAGAGAGAATGAGGGAGGGGAGCAAGGAGAAGGACAGTCCCAACTTAGATAAAGACAACGGCGTAGCTAGTCTGGCCAACCAACAAAGCCAAACCATTCTCGGCAACTTACCGTGACGTGAAGGTCTTGTGCTACGCCGACGTAACCTAGCTGTATATATATGTATATATATATATATATATATATATATATATATTATATATATATATATATATTATAATATATATATATATATACTCTGCTCTGACTATGACATTACCTTCACGAGCTTGTTTTAACATGCCCTTGCACACACCTCTATAAGTATGCACGCTACCCTGCCTTTGAATTGAAACTTCTAAGTACTTGCCCTTCGCTGTTCATGAGCTCGGCATTAACCCTGACTCACTGATACAAAGGGCATCCTCAACTCGCTACGTACAGTATCGATCATCGCCACTACATATACATACATCGATATTGCAAATTCGCGAATCGCGTCTCTGCCATCGCTCCTGAGCTCGCTCTCTTGTGATATGCGGTAAAAAAGGCTATAAATAAATTCTTATAGCGAATGATTGAATGTTCACAGAATATTCAGGTAGATTCTAGTCATCGTTATGTATAAGACTATGCAGCATATACCCCCCCCTCTCTCTCTCTCTCTCTCTCTCTCTCTCTCTCTCTCTCTCTCTCTTTCTTTCTTTCTCTCTGTCGCGCTCTTTCTCTCTCCCTCCTCTTCTCTCCCTTTCGGTGTCAGAATGACAGCGAACGAAAGCGGAAGAGTTGAACCTAGACATTCAATACGTTGCCAACAACAATTTAAGCCATGCAATAAAGCTTTTCGATCATTTTCGGCATCGTCACATCTAATTGCATGTCTTGCGTGGCGATGTTCTAGCATTACACGCCCGCGCCGATACCCTGGAAAATTTCCCACCCACGCTGCGAACTAATAATACACCAATTTCATACTGCTCAGTATATATATATTCATACTATACTATAGTGGGGGCCCGGCGTTGCCCGGGTGTCTTTCGCAACCAATATATGATGTGTTTCAGATAAAATAATAGCAAATAAGAAGCGCTATTTGTCTAATGCAGTGGTGGAGCAATGAGTTATTAATGCCACCTGTCCCAGTGACAAGTGACAAAGGGTTAGGAAGCATGCGCTTAGCAGCAGCAGCAGCAGCAGCAGCAGCAGCAGCAGCATCAGAAGTAGTAGTAGTAGTAACAGCAGCAGCAGCAGCAGCAGCAGCAGCAGCAGCAGCAGCAGCAGCAGCAGCAGCAGCAGCAGTAGTAACGCAGATCATATGTG